GTGGATCTGCCAGATGGGAAGACAGTTGTTGGCTGTAAATGGGTTTTTACTGTCAAGTACAATTCAGATGGATCCTTGGAAAGAGACAAGGCTCGCCTGGTGGCTAAAGGCTTCACTCAAACATATGGAGTGGACTACTCAAAGACTTTCTCTCCAGTGGCGAAACTAAACACAGTTCGGGTACTCCTATCTGTTGCTGCTAATCTTGATTGGCCTCTGAATCAACTAGATGTGAAGAATGCTTTTTTGAATGGAGACTTAGAGGAAGAAGTCTACATGGAACCTCCACCGAGCTTCATTGAGAATTTTGGAACCAAGGTGTGCAAACTAAAGAGGTCTCTATATGGTCTTAAACAGTCTCCCAGAGCTTGGTTTGAGAGATTTACAATGTTTGTTAAGAACTAAGGATATACACAGGGGCAATCGGATCACACCGTCTTTACAAAGAGGTCTACCAAAGACAAGATGTCTGTCTTGATCGTCTATGTGGATGATATTATTCTGACTGGAGATGATTTAGAAGAGATGAGTAGACTGAAGCAGAACCTAGCCAAGGAATTTGAAATCAAAGATCTAGGCCAGCTAAAATACTTCCTTGGAATGGAAGTGGCAAGATCGAAAAAGGGCATTATAGTTTCGCAGCGGAAGTATATTCTAGATCTTCTAAAAGAAACTGGAATGAGTGGTTGCAAACCTTCAGATACTCCGATAGAAGCTAATGTTAAACTCGGAGATGTAAAAGATGGCGTCCCAGTAGACACAGGGAGATACCAACGACTGGTTGGGAGACTGATCTACTTGTCACATACACGTCCCGACATCGCTTTCGCTGGAAGCTGTGTATCGAGTTCTTCGTTATCTAAAAGGAACACCTGGGAAAGGACTCTTCTTCAAGAAAAATGAGAAGAGAGGAATTGAGGTGTATACAGATGTTGATTGGGCTGGTTCGGTCACTGACAGAAGGTCAACATCAGGCTACTGTACATTCCTTTGGGGCAATTTAGTTACTTGGAAAAGCAAGAAGCAAAGTGTAGTCGCTAGAAACAGCGCTGAGGCGGAATTTAGATCAATGGCTCAAGGAGTGTGTGAAGTTCTTTGGCTAAGAAGGGTTTTGGAAGAACTTAAGCGACCAATAAGTTCTCCTATGAAACTGTATTGTGACAACAAAGCAACAATCAGTAGTGCTCACAATCCAGTCCTACATGACAGGACGAAACACGTTGAGATTGATAGACACTTTATAAAAGAAAAGCTAGAAGAGGGGATAATTTGTACTCCATTTGTACCCACTACACAGCAAGTGGCAGACATTTTGACTAAGGGCCTGTTGAGACAGCCATTCGAACTTCAAGTGAGCAAGTTGGGCATGATTGATATATTTGCACCAACTTGAGGGGGAGTGTCGGCAAATCAGGATTGTGAAGTTAGGATTTGATATTTGAATAAACTAGGAAAGAATCAAATGGAATAAAATCCCGGATTATGTGGGATCCTAGGGTTTAACGTGTATTCTCCTTTTCTATTTAAGTGTGTTCTATTCTCTGGAATTAATAAGAAAAAACAGAGAGCTATTCTCTCTTTCTGTCCCTGATATTTTCCTATAATTTCAATGTGAAATTTGGCAATTAGCAAAACATAAACGTGCCTTCTTGCCATCTCAACCATATCGTGCTTCAAAACCTTTTGCTTTAATTCATAGCGACATCTGGGGTCCTTCACGTGTTAAGAGTGTCACTAATCACAATTGGCTTATTACTTTTATCGACGACCATACGCGTGTGTTGGGTGTATCTGTTGAAAGACAAATCTGATGCAGAGAAAATCTTTAACAGTTTTTAATTCCATGATTCAAACTCAGTTCAATGAAAAAAATTAAGATGCTTCGTACCGATAACGGTACCGAATATTTTAACTCCATTCTTGGTAATTTTTTATTGACAAATGGAATTATTCACCAAAGCTCCTGTGTCGATACACCTAAACAAAACGGGGTCGCTGAACGAAAGAATTGCCATTTGTTAGAAGTGGCTAGGTCTCTGTTATTTACAACATGTGTTCCAAAAAGGTTATGGGGTGATGCCATTCTTACTGCATGTTATCTCATTAATCGTTTACCAACTAGGGTTCTAGAATACCAAACACCATTAGATTTTCTTCAAAACTCTTATCCTAATGCTAGGTCGTTTTCTAGCTTAGAACCCAAGATATTTGGCTGTACAGCATTTGTCCACATTCCTAATCACAACCATACAAAACTTGATCCAAGGGCAAATAAATGCCTTTTCCGCCACTCAAAAGGGTTATCAGTGTTACTCCCTTGAAAAAAGGAGATATTTCACATCTGCTGATGTCACCTTTTTTGAAACTCAACCGTTTTTTCAGGGATATTCTCTTCAGGGGAGAATCTGAGTGAAGAGAATATCTTGGAAACATTTTCACAAAATCCGGTACAAATGATAGCCTAGAATCGGGTGGGAATTCAACTTTTGAACTCTGGGAATATTTCTGGAATCCTCCATCCCCTTTTTTTCTCCATTCAAATTCAACTCTCCAGATAAAACTCGGCAAACCAACCCTTCCAAATTCAAAATCCAAACTCCTCAAATCCTGTTTTAGTTGATACTCCCTCAAATCCACCAGTGACCAAAGATCCATTCCAAATTCAACCTCAAATTCGGACTGCAACTGAAAATCTAGATGCTCAGAAAAATCAAAATAATCCGCCGATATTTCAAGAAGAAAAACGGGCAAAACAGAGTGGTCTACAACCGTTTGACTTGACCTACTCATGGAAAAAATTGTCAAAAGGGGTAAAAAATCCTAAACTTTCTCACTGTCAAGATTCTACCCCTGAATCAGGATCAGATAACCATGATCTCAACATCCATGTGGCTATGAGAAGGGGAACAAGAACGTGCACAAAACACCGAATCTCAAATTTTGTGGAGTATGATCACTTGTCAACTTCACTCAAAGCACTCGTTGCTAATCTTTCTGAGGTTGAAATTCCAAAAAACAATGGAGAGGCAATGGGAAAGGAGGATTGGAGGAAGGCTATAATGGAAGAAGTTCGAGCCTTGGAAAAGAATTACACATGGGAGATCGTGGACAGACCAAAAGATAAAGTGCCGGTTGGTTGTAAATGGGTCTTTACATTCAAGTATAAAGCCGATGGATCAATCGAACGACATAAGGCAAGGGTATACTCAAACATACGGCATTGATTACCAAGAAACATTGGCTCCCGTGGAAAAAATCAATACTGTACGTGTTCTACTCTCTTTGGCGGCTAACTTGGAATGGCCACTTCATCAACTTGATGTCAAAAACGCGTTTCTGAACGGTGAACTACAAGAAGAAGTGTTCATGGAATTACCACCTAGTTTTGATGGAGACAGCAAGAGAGGAAAGGTATGTAGACTTAAGAAATCACTATACGGTTTGAAACAGTCACCTAAAGCATGGTTTGATCGCTTCACTAAGACAATCCAGAAACAAGGTTGCTTTCAAGCTCAATCAGATCACACACTATTTTACAAACATAGAGGTAAGAAAGTCACAATTCTCATTGTGTACGTTGATGATATTGTTCTTACTGGTAATGACGAAGAAGAGATTATAAGGCTGAAGAAAGGGTTGTCCTGTCAATTTGAGATGAAGGATCTCGGGAATTTGAGGTATTTTTTGGGCATGGAAATTCCAGAAATAAGTCTGGAATCTCCGTATCTCAAAGAAAATATGTACTCGACTTATTGAACGAGACGGGAATGCTAGGATGTAAGCCGGTAGATACCCCAATGGATCCTAACAAGAAATTAGGAATGGAAGCTTCTAGCAGTCCTGTGGACAGGGGGAGATTTCAGAGGTTAGTTGGGAGATTAATTTACCTTTCTCATACCCGGCCGGACATTTGATTTGCTGTGAGCTGCATAAGTCAGTTTATGCATGATCCTACCGTGGAACACATGGAAGCTGTCTTTAGGGTCCTAGATATTTAAAGGGCACTCCAGGTTGAGGATTATTCTTCAAGAAAAGTGAATCAAGAAGCATTGAGGCCTACACAGATGCAAATTGGGCTGGTTCCGTGAGTGATAGATGGTCTACATCAGGCTACTGCACTTTAGTGTGGGGAGATTTAGTGACTTGGAGAAGTAAGAAGCAAACCGGCGTGGCTCGAAGTAGTGTTGAAGCAGAACTACGATCACTTGCACATGGTGTATGCGAGCTCTTGTGGTTAAGGAAGTTACTGGGAGAACTAAAGATGGAAGTACCGGTTCCTTTGAAGCTCTACTGTGACAATAAGGCCGCAATCAACATCTCTCATTATCCAGTTCATCATGACAAAACTAAACACGTTGAGATGGATCGGCATTTCATTAACGAAAAGATTGAAGGTGGGACAATATGTGTTACATATGTTCCAACACCGGAGCAAGCAGCAGATCTTCTAACCAAAGGTCTTGGAAGACCACTGTTTGAAAAGTTAGTGGACAAGCTCGGGATGTACAACTTGTACTGCCAAACTTGAGGGGGAGTGTTAGCGGATAAGGTTAGATTATCCGTGTATTTTGGGTTGTAAAGCTGTTGTATCTGTTAGCTTTTTTATCTCCTAGTTTTTAGGAAGTTAGGTGGTTAGTTAGACTAGTTCTCCTAGGCTATATAAAGTGTATTTCTCCTGTAAACTTATTAAGTTTTCGAATTAATAAAAAGTAGTGTTCAAATTGTTTTTCTCCTAGCTTTTAATAGAGAGAGAGAGAGAGAGAGAGAGAGAGAGAGAGAGAGAGTAGGCGATTCACTACATTAATTGATATGTCGAAAAAGATGCCAGTTGGGACTTTTATGACTGATTTCTCTTGAAGGCATGTAGCAACTACTCAACCAAGCAAAGTAACAGCACATAGGTTGTAATATCAGGAAAAGATATTTACTTGGGGTTTATAAACCAAAAATTGACTGCACTAAAGAAATGAATATAACTTTCAAGCAATACTTAACCACACCTGTGACATAATCTTCTATGCACTGGAACACTGTTTCTAAACAATGCCGATGTTGGGCCATAATAACTTCATTTTCTGGCATAAAAGAGAAGTTACGGATAACATTTGAAGCAACAACAGCACACTGCTGTTTTTCCGCTCGCCCCTCATCATCTACATTAAACAAGCCATCTTCATTGGTCCACCACTCCGCAGAATGAAGTTTAGTAACATTATTTGGTGATGCTTCCGTAAGCGATGAACCAGATCCCAAGCTACCTCAAAAACATATTTCCATTATCAGTTTCCACGCCAAAAATTCTATCTACTCATCTTTAAAGATTCACCCAAGAATACCATAATCATTAGAGCTCACCCAAAATGTTGGAGATTTCCATTCGAGCCCAATGCATCATACTCAATCCCAAATCCTGTCACAAAAGAATTCGCACCTAAATTTCTTACCCTCGGTGACTTTGTGAGGTCTTTTTGAACTGATATATCACGCCAGTCATCAATCTATTTCATTCAACATTTCAGATTCAATACAAGAAACACCAAAAAGGAAAAATAAATAAATAAATAAAAACCCAAACATAAACACGAAGTCAAAGATACTTGCTTTAAATCTCTTTGCAAAATGTGAATAATGGATCTCAACCGTTGTCCCAACTTTTTAATACCAACTCACATGACTTGAGTTGTAAACCTTTTTTTGGTAAGTATATACAAATTGTGACGTAAAATGGTATTAAAAAGTTAAATCTACAACGGAAAAATGAAAAAAAAAAAAAAAAAAAAAAAAAAAAAAAAAAAAGGTTGAAAAATTTAGGACCCCTACACAAAACACAGATTATTAGACTTACAACTTGGAGAAGAGCATCAAGCAATCCAGGAATTTTTGCCAGTGGAGTTGAATCTCTACGCATATCGTCCTTTTCTTTGAAAGAGAGTAGCGTGAGAGTATTCAGAGCCCATAGTAGCTCACTCTTCAATCCACTCTGAAGAGCAAGTACTATCCTTTTGTTGTTCTGATCTGGAACGAGAATGAAAACACAATACAATATATACGGTGAGAAGAATAACCACCAAATTTCCAATTCAAGGTCTCTACTTTTTTCCAATTTCACTACACACATTACGCATAAATTAATGAATTCCTACTTTTTTGTTCACACAGACGAATTGAACTTAAGAAGAAAACCGAACCAAACAGAAACAACCGTGAAGAAGCGAAAAACTCAGAAAGAGGCGAAATTTTCTAGATTAAGATGGACACGAGCTAGGGTTTTGAGGGACTTACCGGCGAAGGAGCTGTGGACGTGGAGAGAGGGGCCGAGAAGAGTGGAAGGAGCGGCCGTGTCGGCGGCGGCTGCTGCTGCGGCGGCGGCACTGCTGCTGGTGCTGCCGAAAGGACGGCCTCTCTTAGCCGGAGGCGCGGTGGCTCCGCCCGAGGCTCCACCGGACTTGCCCTGTTCTCTCTTCTGCATTCTGCTTTCTCTCTCCTCTTTCTGTCCTTCGGAGCTGAAGATGGAGATTTCAATCGAATTTGGAAATTTTGGGCTCCTTGGGTTTGACCCGTATTATCTACTATCGGGCCGATAAAGACTGCCTTTGGGTTTTGGGTGGACAATGTTTATGATTGGGCTCTTAAAACGCTCATGACCCAGCCCAAAAGCAGGAATTTCAACACCTTTTTTTGGAGAAATAGTAGAGAATAGGCCAATTTAAAAACCTCAAGAAAGCATATAGGTCAATTTTTAATTATAAAAATTAATATGTCATAATTTTTAAATTTTTAAATTTACTCTTTTTTTTCCTTTGTTTCTTTCGATCGTCTCTGTCTTTCTCTCTCTCTCTGTCGCAAATCTCTCTCTCTCTGGCTTCTCGCAGCTCTCTCTCTCATAACTGCGCTCGGATTTTCTCTCTCGTCGATGGATCATCGGTTTTCCATTTGCTCGTCGGTGAATCATCGGTGGATCAACAGGTTCGTCGGTCGGTAGTTCTTGTTCTCGTTTGGATTTGAGCAGCTTTTCCGGTGCTTTACCAGGTTTCTAGTTTTATTTTTGCTGTATTTTCATTTTCATATTTTGCATTATTTCGGTTTGTTTTCTTTCTTTGTCCGTTAATCCTTTATTTTTTGCTATTTTCCGGTCAATTTTTACGGAACAACATGTTTGGGCATTCTTCGTTTCTAGTTTTTTCTTTTTTTGTTGTAATTTCGTTTTCACGTTTTGCATTTTTTCGGTTTGTTTTCAATTTGTTTCAGTCATGACAGTTTTTGCTATAACTTGTCCGGTTATGGAACATAACTTGACGAGTTATGGTCCATAATTGAGAGGTTTTTTTATATAACTTGTCCGGTTATGCACTTTAACGTGATAGTGTTCCTGCAATATGTTTGTAGGCATGCAATCTGTTTCAGTCATTGTTGCTTATAGGGGAAAATGGAGTCTAGAAAACCAATATACAAATTTTGGTTTTCAATCAGTTTTTATTCCAGAGGATGCTTCTTTGAAGTTTTTACAGGAGTGTTTATGTGAGGAGCTGAATCTTGAGTTGTTTGGTTTTAATGCTGGTGTTCATTCTTTATTACTTTTTGTGGGAAGGAAGTTGAAGGACCCAATTGAAATTGTTTCGGACCTTAAGAGGGATGATGATGTTAAGTTATTTTTAAACTTGGTTCGACACAGTAAGGAAGCTCTTAGATACCCGTTGGTAATAGATTTTGTTAGTGGCTCCGTTAGTGCAGTGGGATCTATTTCTTCTTCATCTTGTTTTATTAGTTCAAGAGACGAGGCGTCATCTTCTAATGTTGATGGTTCCGTTTGTCAATTTGAAGATGATATTGATGTTGCGATGAATAATTTTTTGATTGAAGATTTGGATATTTCAAAGTTACCTATGTCGTTTGATGTGAATGTAGGCAATCAATTCATGAGCAAGTCGGTTCTCAAGAAATTCATGCATGTAATTACTATTAGGAGGCATTTTGAATTTAAATCTGAAAGATCTAATAATTCATTTTATGTTTTGGTTTGTAAAAATAAGAGTTGTACTTAGAAGATGCGTGCTACTAAGGTTTCAAATGGTAATGTTTGGGCAGTGAAGAAGTATATTAAGGAACATACTTATTCACTTGATGTTGCTAGTGCTGAGCATCGTCAAGCATTGGACTTACAGACCGTTTGCGTCCTAATGATTTGAGGTCTATAATGCATGGTAAGCATGGTGTTGAGATTAGTTACTACAAGGCGCGAATGGCTCACCGATATGCGTTAGCATCAATGAGAGGAAGTGTAGTGGAGTCGTATGCATCCATTCCTTTTCTGTGCAATGTTTTCAAGGAGAAAAATCCAGGTGATTTTTATTTTTATGTGTTATGCTTATGGTTTTGTTTGTCTTAATGTTTTGAAGGAGAAAAATCCAGGTTATGGTATAATTTATCAGGTTATATTCCATAACTTATGTTATCAGATAAGTTGACAGGTTTTTTGCTTATGGTTATGTTATCAGATAACTTATGTTATCTGAAAAATCCAGGTTATGCTTATGGTTTTGTGCAGTGGAATCGTATGCATCCATTCCTTTTCTTTGCTTTTTTTTTTTTTTTTTTGCATAACTTGTCTAGTAGTTTACATAAGTTAAAATTAATATACGCCCAATAACTATTAGTATATTTTTAAAAGGACATGGAATTCAATAACTTAGTAAATATTCACGTCATTTGTTTTTAACATATTTATTTTCTAAAAGATTAAAGAGTTCTGATCATAAAGAAATCTAAGAAGTGTGAAAGAGTATCTTATACATTTAGTATCTTTTTCAAAAATGATAAAGGAGGTTAGTCATGTTGAATCTACAATTTAGTATCTTATACATGAGTTGCGGTGACACACTATAAACATCTAAATAGCTCATCTATTTTTTTTCCCCCAATAAACTCTAGAACTTTCAATTCACTGACAAGAGTTTAATTTCTCCGTGACTAATAGTTATTTTAAATGTCTTTTTTTTTGTTTTTTCTTTGTAAGATCTGTGACTTCTTATGAGCTTGACAATGATGGGCGGTTCAAGTATTTTTTTTGTGCTTGGGGGCTTCTATTCATGGTTGGCGCCATTGTAGGCCTGCGATCTCAGTTGATGGCACTTTTTTGAAGAATGAGTTTTCTGGGACCTTGCTTCTCTCTGCAGTTTTAGATGCTGATAATCATATTTTCTGCTTGGTTTTGCAATTGTTGATTCGGAGAATGACTCCTCGTGGGAATGATTTTTTGAAAGGCTTAAGGAGGCCATCGGAACTCGTGAAGAGCTTGTTATGTTTTCTGACCAAAAGAGTAGTATCCCTAAAGTAGTTGAGAAGGTATTTCCGGATGCATCTCATGGATTTTGTATGCAGCATTTACTTAGAAATTTGAATTCAAATTTTAAAGGTGTGCATATGGATGCTATATTCTATCATTGTGCCAAGGCATACCGTAAGGAAAACTTTGGTTACTTCATGCGTCAATTGGAGGCAGTTCGACCAGCTATTCAATATTATTTGTTGTAAGTAGGGGTTAAAAAGTGGGCACGTGCTCACTTTGAGAGGAAGAGATATGATGTCATGACGACTAATATCTCCGAGTCGTTGAATAATGTCTTAGTGAATGTTAGGGAGTATCCTATTGAAGCTTTAATTGAGCATTTCAGATCCCTCTTGCAAAGATGGTTTTATGAGCGTCGAAATAAGGCGAATCAGACTTTTACATACTTGAGTAAGCATGCAACTAAATGCCTTCATGATAGGGAAAAGATTGCACGTTGCTTATCTGTAAGTTGCTTTTCTTTCAATTATTTACTTTTTTTTGTTTCATTATTTTGGTTATGTTTTTTATGTGATCTTTTTTGTGATTCTTTTGGTCCTTTTTTTTGAAGTTATTCTATTATTTTTTGAATGCTCTGTTTTCTTTTCTTTTTGTCATGTTTTCAGGTTCATCCCATGGATATCAATAAGTATTATGTTGTTGATGGTTTAGTTGGTGAGATGGTTGACTTGGTGGCAAGAACATGTAGTTGTCTTGTTTGACAAGCTGATGAATTTCCATGTCCACACGTTATTGCATCGATTTGGAAAAGAAATCTTGATCCAACACATTTTACTTCCTACTATTACACCAACAATGCATTCAAAGCAACATATGATGTTGTAATCTATCCTATTACTAATAGATCAAAGTGGCAAATTTCAGAGGGCAGTGAGGTGGAGGTTGTTCTTCCTCCTGAGTTTAAACGTGGTGCTGGGAGGCCAAGGAAGCAAAGAATTCTTTCTAGTGGAGAATGAGAGAAGCAATCTGTGAAGTGTAGTCGATGCAAGCAAGTTTGCCACAATAGGAGGACTTGTTCAAACCCCACATTTGTTGATATGAACTGATCATCATGGTCTAAGTTAATTTTTTGTCATTATGTTATAAGTTGGAATTGAATGATTTGAAGGAAAAATATTCAAAATTTTCTAATAATAAAAGAAATCCTTGCATTTAATAGTTAAAAAAAACTGTGATTTATGGATTATGGTCTAATTTGATAGGTTTCTGTCCATAACTTGTCAAGTTATGGACCATAACTTTGGTTGTTATGTACCATAACTTGTGCTGTTATGGACCATAACTTGACAGGTTATGGTCCATAATTTACAAATTTTTTATTCGGTTATATTTTAAAACCATGTCCCAGTTTTTTTACTCGGTTTTTGTGCATAACTTGTCAAGTTATGGACCATAACGTGTGCTGTTATGGAGCATTACTTGACAGGTTATGGTCCATAATTTACAGATTTTATTCGGTTATATTTTAAAAACCCTATCCCATATTTTTTTACTCAGTTTTTATGCATCACTTGTCAAGTTATGGACCATAACTTGACAGGTCATGGTCCATAATTTACAGATTTTTTATTCGATTATATTTTAAAAATCGTATCTCAGATTTTTTTACTCAGTTTTTGTGCATAACTTGTCAAGTTATGGACCATAACTTGACAGGTTATGGTCCATAATTTACAGATTTTTTATTCGGTTATATTTTAAAAACCGTATCCCATATTTTTTTACTCCGTTTTTGTGCATAACTTGCGCTCTCTGTTTTCTCTCTCTAAGATAGTTTTTTCTTTCCAAGATTTCTTTCTTTCCACCGGTGACCTCCTGCGATTTTTTAGGTTTTTGTTTCCGTTTGTCTTCGGCGATCTGTCTTTCTTCCCTCCGTCCGTCTACTGCGATTTTTTTCTCCTTGCTCTGCAACTCTCTCTATCATCGCTGAAAGTGTGCATTTTCTGACAGTATTTTTTTTCTATGAGTTTTTTTTTCGCGTTCCTTTGGTTTTTTTTTCTTTCTCTGATCTTGTGATTCTATATATTATTGTTTAAGATATGGAGAAAACACAAAGTAAGAGGAAGAACAATGTTTCTGTTTCTACTCCAAGTAAACGCTCGAAGGTTGTGAACAAGAAAATTGGTATGGAGAAAAAAAGTTCCAAAGAAGTTGTTCGTCCTTCTCCCACTCGTAACACTTTGGAGGT